TAATAAAACTTGTCAAAAGTATTTGTTTTATACTAGGCTATTAATATTTTACTATAAACACACTTTATTAGCCTCCTTGTAGCAGCATACCTAAGTATTCATTAAACTCAAAGCTATTTTAGATTTAATTGAAAATCGGGCAAATGAAAATTCTCTTATAGTCTACAGGTTTGCTGTGACGGGGGTATTTAATATTTTCTCTAACTCCTTGTGATCCTTCCCTCTTATATAGTAAAGAATTACAGTTATTTTCAATAATCCCCTTTTATATAGAGCATGGAGGTAACTCATTTTATTACTTTATGAATAAATGTTTAAATATTGTAAAAAGTAATAACATTTCGAAAAACCCTGTATAGAGTGGTTTAATACACTAAAAACTAGTCCCAATCGATTTGAAATAACTAAAACCATCAAAAACCACACCTTACTCGACCTTAAACGTAAAAACAAAATCATTCAGGAACAAGGGCCCTTCGGATCAAAAAGGGCCTTAGGACGCCCCAAATTTTGGGGACTCATTGGATCTTCATTTCTCATATTATTAGTAACTCACGGGTGAAATTTCATGAATGTACAAATTTTGTTGTTTATATGGAGTGTTTTTGTATTATTTTACCTGTACTAAAATGTGAATATCAATTTCAATTAGTTAAGATGGGAACGCCACTATGTGCGTATTTTAACCCAAATATGAGTGAAGGATGAGTTTAGGATGAGTGGCGCGATCTTTTAGTCTTGTTAGTGACTAAGGTCGACATGTTCCTTAGACACAGCTGTTAATTAATAGCCCATACAGCTAATGGCAACTAAGGGACCTACAGTTTATAGTGGAATCCGAACCACATTTTTCCTTGTAATTTACAAATTGGTCTAATTATCAGGATTAGTACTGCGGATAGTCGTAGTAGTAGTACTCACTAGTGCGGACGTTAATCCACACCAGGGAGCATCGCATCCACAGTGCATCCCTATAAATATCCACAATTCGTGACCTCCTAGTAGCTGGATTACAGGACGACATAAATAAAATTAACATATAAAAGCCGTTATTTAAATCATAGATCCAATAGTGAATTATAACACCGTAGTAATTTCCGAAGGTTTTCTTTAATTAAATAGCGTTTGGCTCAATGCCTTGATGATTCGAGATTCGGCCAAGTATTGAAGAGCAGGATTCCGTTATAATATACCGTAGATGTTTTTTTTTATTGTATTGTAGAATGCTTTTATAATAGTTTAAGACTACGGTACCGGTAGTATAGGAGTGCATTACCTATGCTGGTTGGATAACAGAGGCCAAAAACACCATTCGTTCAAATTTGTATATATATATATAAATGTATATACAGATATACATTTATATTCATATATATATATATATAGATCTTTAAGGCTGATTTTATTATTTTCTTTGATCTGTACTCAATCATATGTTCTCAAAATTCAACTACTGTATTTGTAAACAGTTCATATTTATTTGTTTTGTTCATCTTTACATTTTTAATATAATAAAATATCTTGGAGTATGGCTGGACAAAAAACTTAATTGGAACTACCACGTTAATCAAAAACTGTCCCAAGGTGTGATGTTTCTTGTTACATGTACGACATGAAGTTTGTGAATGGCAATCTTTGAGGTTATGATGGCCTAGACAGGAGACACAGCAATGATTTTCTTTGACGAGGGTATGTCGCTGATGCGGAGATTTATTTTGGAACACACTGCAGGCATAGATCTTGTGTTCGTTTGAGTTACATGCAAAACACTGCCAATGAGTCGGTTTTTTAATGCCTGTTGAGTGAGATGACTGATGGGGGGAAGTGTGGGTCGTGGCCATAGCAACGTTTCTTGAGCGAAATTGTACTTGCTTTTGTGTAGTGTCTTTGGGTGCATGAGCAAAAGTGTTATTAATTTTATTCAGTGTGGGAGCGCTGTGTAGATTTGCATCCTCAGCCTGAGAGCATTCAGTGTTCAGATATTTGATTATATCTTCGACCTCGGGAAGTGAGTGAGAATTCGGTTGAAGAGCGGAACATTTCAAGCTTTTTGCGTAAATCAGCATCCATCTTACGCAGGAGCAGTGCGGAGAGAAGGGGATTATTATTTGTAATGTCACATTCCAAAGCTTTTAAAGCTTGCGTGTGTTCAGTGAAACAATTTACAAAATGGCGAAGTCCTGTTATGGTTAATGCATTAATGGTAGGAAGGTCCAAAATGTGATTGAGGTGAAAAGATTGTAAGCGGCGTTCATTGTGATATCTATCACGGAGGAGATTATATGCAACCAAATAGTTAGCTTCAGTAAGATTCAAACTTTTGACTAAGTCGAGGGGTTCTCCGTTAAGTACACTTAAGAGGTACTGAAATTTCATGACACTGGAAAGCGATGCGTTGTGGTGTATTGCAGTATCAAACAAATTTATAAAACTTGTCCAAGTTAGTGGGTCACCGGAGAATTTTTGTAAATCCAATTTTGGAAGGCGTACTGCTTGCGAAATCGGTGTTTGGTGAAGAGAAACGGAAGAAGAGTCACTTAAGATAGCAGAATTTGAAGGTTCAGGATGGGACATTAAGAACTCAATAGTAGCCACGATATGAGAAAATAAACTTTCAATTTCATCCAGGTCTTGAGACAATGTCTCGTCAGAGATAGGATCCTCTTCTAAGATTAAAACCCGTTGCACATTGTTGTCGAATTCTTCTTTTCTTTTACGAATTTCATTTAAATGAGCATTAAGTTGTTTAATTTGAATAGGGGTGAGTTGTTCCGTTGAGGTAGAGTATTCATCAACAGTATCTTTAAGTTTATTAAAACGAGTTTTAATTAGAGATGTTGAGCGAGTGTAGGTGGATGACTTAAAATCAGAAGTTTTAGGAGCCATTGTAGTAGTAGAACACAAAATTTACCAGCAGCACACACAATATAAAAAGGTCTTGAGTAAACACAAAATCTCAGTTTGAAGTCAAAACAATGAATTGTACATCAAAGATACAGATAATAAGTTTCTTTCAATAAAGTCTTTACCTAAAAGGAGGAATGTATAGTCTATTAAGTGCACAAAAAATTAATAAACTTGAGCTTGTTTGATTGATTGGCACCAAAAATATAGTATTAAAGTAAGTAAAGAGTTCATTTCATATCGTGATCTGAGTCCAAAAAGATTATAATCGGGTAAACTTCAAAACAACAAATTAGTAGTGGACTGTAAGGGAACTGAGTAGAACATTTAGATTATAAATGGGGTAATGTTAACAAGGAATGAATATAGTTACCAGGTTTTCATCCGGCTCGAAGGACCAAATGTTGGATTGGGAATGGAAAAATTATAATTATAAAAAAAGAAACCATGTTGACTTGAGCAATAAAAACAATGTAATGAAAAAGTAAACAGAAAGAAATAATAACATATGATAAATAAATATACACATGTTAAATGCAGATCAAGGGGGAAAAGTCTTGAACACAAGGTTATGCACGCCTTGCAAAGCTTTTCCCTTTAATCAATAGGAAATCTACTCTGAAGCCAGCTTGTACAGTTCTAATCTACAAATCAATAATTCGGCCCTTGATTACATATGCATCTCCTATCTGGGGATTAGCTACATCAAAAAACAAACTCTTCAAAATTCAAGTGATTCAAAACAAAATTCTAAGAATAGCGGTGAATGCTCCCTGGTTTGTTAGAAACAGGCATATACATGAAGAACTAGGAGTGGAGTCTATCTCGGCCTTTATTGAAAAAACCACCTCAAAATCTTTAAACGATGTTCCTGGTGCATTAACTTTTCATCTTGGTGAAGCAACTGAGAACAGGAGGCTACGTCGAAGGCTCCCTCAAGATCTATTGGATGAATGAAGCCTAAAGACGATTAAATTATTCTCTAAATTAATTATGTTACAGGGTGTACCAGGTTTGGGCGAACCCACGATGTTATTATAGTTAATTTCTTTTTAATTTTGTTAACACTTCTGTGTATAATGTCTACATTGAACCAGAAATAAATGCTGTAAAAAAAAAAAAAAAACATTTTTAATTCTCTTTGCTTGAAAACGTTTGTATTAAACGAAAATTTGCAACGTTTCATGTTTCATTCATCATAAACTCTATCAAGATCTCCTCAAGAATATATATATATATATATATATCCGTGAACACGATAACTTGAGTAATTTTTGTCCGATTTTGATGACATTTGGTTTGAAGGTGTAAGGCGGGATAAACTTGAATGAGTTCGCGAACCAGCATAATCGGACCATGGAACGGTGATTTACGGGGGGGTTTTATGGGGTAAAAATTGGTTTTTCTAATTTTTGACCTTCTGAACACAAAATTTCCCAATTTCTCTCTCGACCTTTTTAAAGAGCTTAAAAAAAAATAGTTTAGTATATCAAAGTGTTTTTGTACGGTTATTGGTAACGGATAAAGTTCAAAAAATTGTAAATTTAAAATTCCTGTGTTATTCTTATGGAGAATATTGTCAAATGTTGTAGTTTGCTTGTTTATGGATATATTTGATCAAACTTGGTAAATTTATTTATTTTATACTAAGTTATTAATATTTTACTTAAAAACACACTTTTTACCCTCCCTGTAGCAGCAAACCTATGTACTCATAAAACCTAATGTTAATTAAATACATTTAATTGAAAATCAATTCAGGCAACTGGAAATTTGCTTATTCGGCAGGTTTGCGGGGGTATTTACTCCCATGGGAGTAAAAAGGCCTTTTAATCCTTAGGGACCAAAAAAACTACTTTATACTCACAAAAAATGTGTTAAAAACTGTTGTTTTTTCTGTAGCATAAGGAAAAGATAACATAACATTGATTTGAATTGAAAACATAAATATAAAAAAAAACACTGTAGCACTCTCTGTGAGTAGGATGACTATGAACAAAGGACTGTCTACAGATGGGTTGGTTGGATTTAATTTATTGTATTCATCAGCTGACCATCAGGATTAAAGAAAAAAAAACAACAGGACTATCTAAAAATAAGCTTTAAAATATATCTTTATCTGTAATATTTGGGAATTCAGTCTCAGTCTCTTACTCTATGATCAATTACTTATACAGTTTGTTTAAATGTAAGCAACAATTGTAGATAAAAAAGAAATGTAGATAATTAAATTTTCTTTGTCTATAAAACTGGCTTTCGAAGGTGAACATGTTGTCATTAAAGGAACGGATCTTTCATAGTTTTTGGGTCGAGGCTCAGACTTTTTAATAAAATGATCAAACTGTTCCAGTACTTGAGTTACTTCTGCCATCTCAGATGAATCCTGAAAAATAAATTAAATATAGTAGTTTTATATTATTTTATATTGAAGCCCTAGACTTGAAATGTCCCCCTAAATAATTAGACCTATATATGATCAAACTTGTAATATCACAATAGGATTAAAATTATCTTCTATTGCAAAACAAATTAATGCACTAATATGAATTACAAATTATGTTCATTTATCAACTACCTACTTAAAATCCAGCGCCACTTGGCATTTTCTAAAATATGATAAATACAACATTTTACCTAAAATTTGTATTTGTGAGTGCTACATGGTTTGGACCTTGTGTTGATTTCATTTTTGCTCCTATATAAGTATATAACAATTTGTTGGTTGGTGGCTATTGATTCTAAGAATCAAGAATTTGTATTCATCATTTTGCGCTATGTACAATACATACAATACAATAAAGATGCCTAGTTATAAGTTTGTGATTAAATAATTTGGACGCTGTAGCAAAATTTGTTAAGCTTGCAAGTAAAACAGATAAAATTAAAGTTTTTTTTTTAAATAGAGGCCCACAAAATTATTACTTTAATAAGTGTTACAGCTTATTCTACATAACATGTTTTTTATAGTTTCTAAATAAATGATTTAACGTAGGTTTATTAAATAGGTATATATTTAGTTAATACAGTTTTCAAGAATGAATTTGTAGCCTCTATGACCAAAATGGATGCCTTTACTAAATGTCTGATGAAGTTTCAAGGTGTGCATCACTCAGATTCATCATGCAAGACTGTTCACATCTAAAAAAGTGTTGGTTACACCGCAACATTACTAGTTTCATATGTATCGGTAATGTACATTTTAACAATATATACTTACCACTGTATCAAAGAGTGTATTGCTGGGTGCAAACATGCTAAAAGTCCGAGATGAAGGACTGTTGTAATGTCCAAATAAATTATTGAGGCCTGTAAACAGAGCCATGATGTCTTCTCTTTTTGCTGGCGTTGTTTTGTCACTGACCATAACCTGCATCATAAAGTACAAAAAATACATTAAAATGTGTTGGACATTAGATATTTAAATAATGGTTTTATTAGTTTTTGGTGCTTTATAGGTGCTCACTGCCCAATTTCATTTTTCATTAACCTTCTAACCACTGTTTTTGATATATAGTCTAACTCTAACTTCCCGAACTCCAATCATTCGGATCGCCATTTGTCTGGATCACATCTTAATATGTACCAACTATGTCCATCATGCAGCGAGTATATTGAAGTGTCATATTGATTGGTGGGTGTCGAGTCATCTGCTAAGAGCTGCTGTCTTTCTATAGTGTTTATAGTGTTTCTTGAAAACCCAACTATGCAGGCATTTACTTATTCAGATGAGATCCAGTCAGTGGCTGCTAAAGGGGGGCTTGGCTGGGCTTAGCCCCCCCCCCAGATATAAGGACTCACTTTCTTTTTGGTTAAGTTAGAAAAGTTCATTTAAAAAAATAATAGGAGTAAGTTTTAATGAATAATATAGGCTTTTATTTTAATTTATCAAATGCTTTCTTATTATAAAATGTAAGGGTGAAATTCTTACATTGAATTTGTAAATTAGCAGATTACATGGTCCTTCAAGTATGTTCACTGTTTTCACTGAATCCGAAATTCCTTTTATGTTAATTTCCAAATAGCCTAAAATACGTCTTTAGTGCTTATATTTTTTCACATATTTTTTCTCACTGAGGGGTATTCCAGTAGAGCCGCCTATGGATCCAGTCCCAAAAATTGATCAGGGGGAATGGATTTATACTGAACTGTAATTTCATCACTCATGCTCAAGTCTATCTGGATGCAGAAAAGTCAGATAACTACTGCATCAACATGACAAATTATAATTTCAGTCATTACCAAACTCAAGATAATTCAATACAAACCTGGCTATAGCTTGACCAGCTGAGGTAGCAATCTTGCTTAGTTCCTTCACATAACGCTTTGAAACTGTCCACTGTCAGCCCTGCTGCATCAGGGTTGTTGTTCAGATCTTCTAGAAAATAAAAAAAATACGTCAGAAGGCAAAATAAAAAATGTATTGAAACAATAAACCCCTGTTTTTGTGGTGTTTACATTTCAGCGACTTGACGTCTGTTAGGTTGATCGTAGCTGCTTTTAAAGCAACTGAGCTAGTTGTTCGGTTACAGCCATTGCTTAGCTTAGGGATTACATCTTTTGCTATTGGTCAACACAACTTTTTTGTAAAAAACTTTACCTATTCACATTGCAAAAGACAAAACAGAAGTAAGGAATAAAGGGAGCATACAAGAACAGTACTTTTAATCACAATACTCTGTGTACCTTTAAACATTTAATGAAAGAAATACAGTTTCAATATATTTAAACATAACCTCAGAGCTTCCAACATAAAATCTCACATATCACGAAGCAACCCTTTCATACTGGCACAGTGGTGTGATTATACTCCATTTGCTCCTTGTCACTAAGCGAATGCTAAGGACCCACATTTAAGCCATATACGAAGACAAAACCAGAGAAGAGGAGTGTGTCTCTTTTTGGCTGTAGTGATATCTAATAAGCTTTACTTACTTAGATATTTTGGGATAGAATCTTTAGAAATGAATGCCACGTCTCCTCCTCCAACTGCAAGACACTGAAATGCCAAAGCTTCATTGTCGTATTGTGAATTGCCGAACTCTCCTTGATCAAACCATCTGTCAGCAATGTCTGTAAATAAAGTCAACAATAAACCTTAAACAAACAGTTTTAACTTTTGGGCTCTTCCTCTCCAAGCTCTTCCACAGTCCTCCTCATGAGTTTGCACATGAGACCTGTCCAAGACGGAATTTAAACCTCTAGTCTATTTGGTGCTAGTCTGGCTAGAGAGACAAATGCTCCTGGCCACTCAGCTAGCACATGTCAAGTATAGCTTTCAGCCATTTTTGTTCAGTTATAGGTACTTGCATAGTCAGTTATGAATTGAAGTTTGGTGGTGTTGCTATTGGTGGCTGATGTATCAGACTTTGAAATAATGTCAACAAACATAAGTGCTAAGTAAGAGACAATCTGAATCTTCTTATACCTTTGACTCATAAGACCATCTCAATGAATTATGGATAATTGACTAAGAACTAGTAGAAATATGGCATATCTATTTTTTGTCAAGGATTAATAATTGTTACCAGTTAGTTGTGACTTTATGTAGAAACCTGGTGTTGGGAGTGTATTATTCTACACTTAGGATGAAACAAAGCGAATTTGGATTGGCACTCACCAGTTAACAGAAAATAATTAAATAACTTCTTAATCAGCATCGTAGGTGTTATTAAATTACCTACCTCAAAGTATAAAAATATGTATAATAACACTTGTAATAATAGATTTACACACTTGTGTTGATTAACAAGACAGTAAATACATATAAAAGATATTGAGGTCTGATGATGATTGAAGTGTCCAATCGAAATCGATCACCAAACTTACCATCTCAGTCGTATTTTTTGTTGTAAGACTAGATTACTTACGTCAATAGCTCATTGAATTTCACTTCATGTTTCAGTACAGGTTTCGACACATTGTCATCATCAGCTGAGTACTAGTGAAGTCTGTCCCCGACCCGCGGCGTGACCGTGTGTTTTGTTCGAGCAGGCCTGCATGTCTTAAAGCTTTACGTGTTGTAAATGTATATGTTCCATGTCGTGTCGTATTTGTGTTACGTGTTACGTGTTTATTTAATTGAACATTGACGAAACCATATGGTGAATAAAAACTTCACTATTACTCAGCTGATGATGACAATGTGTCGAAACATGTACTGAAACATGAAGTGAAATTCAATGAGCTATTGACGTAAGTAATCTAGTCTTACAATAATATCTACAGCTCAGGGGCTTAACAATGAATTTAAAGTATTTTTTGTACCTTCATGAAAATAAATGTAAAAAAATTTGTTGAGACATCACGTTTGAATTGATGTATGTGTTTCTTGACAAATTCATCAATCAATTAAAAAAAATAATATTTTGTAATATTTAAAAATAAATTAACACTTACATTCCGAGCAAACTTTGATGTTGGAGTAAGGCGCCACAGAAGAGCTAGGCTCGGAGATGCATATATCAGAGAAAAACTTGGACATTGCCTTGGTATAGGGGCACTCTTCAGTGTTTCGTAGGTACATTGCAAATGAAGTCCATCCTACAAATTTGAAACCATTTAAAGAATTAATAACAAATTTAATAGCTTAGAATTTAAGTTAATAACTTCAGAATGTAAACGTTTCAATTGAATAGTTCTGAAATTGGTCCATAAATTACTAAAAAGATAATAATTTGTTTCAAATATTGAAAACATATAATCCTCATATATAATACGTGAAGGCGATTTCTACGAAACACTATTGTGTCATAATTACGTATTTGCTGTGTAGACCGCCCTTTCAACATTTCCTGCAATAAAAGTCTTCGGGCTTTGCCCCATATGTCATCAAAATCCCAATGTATTTCTTATGAAGAAAAGATTTTGTTTACTCAACAGACGAGTAATTTTTATTCATTGCAGCTGTTCATAATACACAAAAAGAGCGTTCGTTTTCAGAGTGAGTTAGTTTTTAGTTTCAATAACTGGAGTGGAGTGAGCATTTGTTTTCAGAGTAAGTTCGTTTTCAGTTTCGATAACTAGAGTGGAGTGATTGATTACATTATTTTTGAGTAGACTTTTTTAAGTCATCGGAAATTATGACTTTTATTATTAGTTATGAGATAATACTTAGCAATTGCTCGAATTTGAGCAACAGGTGCACTAGTAATCTTTGATAGCGTGTGGAAAGATTTAAATGTACTATAAGCTGATGTTCACCTCACCGGAGCTACGGGCTACCAGCACAGCTGTTTATCTACTGTATCCTACTTAACATGCGACAAGCAAGTACGTCCGTTCTGGCAAGACTACAGTCTCTGCAGAATATAATGGCATAGAGGGAAGTTGGAGGCTTCAATAACAAAAAACAATCAATATGATCACTTGAGTTCCTTTCAATTAGCAGGTAGGGTAATATAAAAAGAGCCAAAGTAAGCCAAAGGACTGTAATATAGGTATCAATTCAATTTTGTTTCCCAGTTATTAACAATTAAAATCATTGGGGGGGGGGGGGTGAAATACAGATTTTTTTCTTTTACATTATAGGCTAATGGTTCGTGTAAACAAATAAAGAAAGAAGTATAGGGAAGATAATACAATTTCTTACCTATACCATCCACTGAGGAGAAGCAAGCTTTTTTCCCTCTCAAATCTGACAGTGAGTTAATTTTTGAGTTTGATTTAACTATGGCTGCAACTGTTTTTGCTTTTTTCAATTGTTTGGGTAGATGAACAATCAGTGGTTGCAGGCCATTGTCTCTGAAAACAATTTTCTATCAATAGATAGATTCTTAAAAGTTTGTCTTCTAAACTTTAAACCACAGTCCTATTACAGTAGAGTAATTGGCTGAGCCAGGTGTCTTTACCTTTAACGAGGCCTGCCAAAGCTGGGTACGGCCCTGGGCTGAGTTATACGTTTTATATCCCATTTGATCAAAGAAAATCAAAGAAAACTGATGTGAATGCTGATGTATGTAGATAACTGTCAATTTCATAACTGAACACTTCAATGCAATGTACTGAGTTAGATTAAGGAACTGTGACGCTATTTATTGTATTGCTGTACATTAAACAAATAAATAAATTTTGAATTTGAAATCATATATTTGTCACTATCATAGCTATATAACTTTATATTGACTTATTTACTACCCAGCTTCACAAGGAATGCACATCGCACAGTATATATCTAAATCAGAAATGATGTTTGGGTTAAGAAATCTTCATAATAATATTAGAATTGCCACGAGAATTTGTTTGGAACACTTTAAAGCCATCACATTTTACACCAGGGTTTATGACAAAATGTTTTAAATACCTTTATTGAAAACACCTGTTGTCGTAAAACTTGTCAGATGTTTTGTTGTAAACCGTGTTATGAACATGGTTATAACAAATCACCCTGAAAAGTACCTGATTGCAGGCAGCAGTTTGTCTGTGGTAGTAATAGTGACATCAGCAGATTTGTTAGCCACAGACACAAGGCAGTTGGCTCCGTAGATACAGTTGAGAGTTGGCTGAAGACCATAAACTCTCGAGACAGCTGCCAGCCAGTCACACTAAGACAAGCATTTGTATATCATGTTGTTGAGCATCCATGCATTGCTATTAACTTATGTAGAAGGAGGCGCACAACTGTACACAGCTTTGTAAGGTGGTGCACAACAAGTAAGATTTTGCACAATGTTGCTTCCACTGTGATGGCTGGACATTAATCGAGTAGGCGAACACGTCTGTACTAGAAAGTGCACAACCAGCGCACGGAAACGTTCCTTACTTTTTGAACAGCCCTTGTATTTTAACACAACTACTTTCTGTGATTTCACATATAGAACACATTACTCAAGTTTTTCTTTATACATATTTTTCATTGAATATAAGGACTCTTGTAATAGCATATTTAATTTTATCATTTGTCTTATTTTTATTCATCAATGCAACTGACATAAGTTAAAAGTAAATAATACAACGTTCTTGAAACTGGATTGACTATAAATTCATAAAACTAATCTAGACTTTCATTTATCTGGACAACTTGGAACACCTATAAGTCTGGATTAATGACGGTGTACTGTATATTATTCTTCGTCCATAGTCTAATATATCAAATTATGGCTGTTAAAAAAAACCTTGATTTTCTCCTCCAGTGTGCCAATACAGAGATTGATAGCTCGACTATCTTGACCACAGCTTGACATGGAGTTGGCACTGAGGTATCCAGGGGCTGAAAACAGTCTGAGGTATAGCATTTACAAAAGTACACAGCCCTATGAGGCCAAACAACATAGCCAAACAACATTTGCCCATTAAGTCAGATGGAAACAGAACCTTAAAATAGAAACAAGGAAAATAAACATACATAACTGAGTAAATATTTTATATTTAGGTTAGTAAAAAAAATCAGTGATGTATGTAGCCTTGGAGGCATGGTGGAAGGAAAAACAGGTGTGCTATTTCGTCATATGCTGACGTCACCCAGATTGTAAACAAAAAATCACCTGATCGTATTGCCATATAAGTATATATTTTGTTTTGATTTGATTTTTATTGTTTCTATATTTTTTTCTAAATGGTGAAATGGTGTTGCAATCTGGGCGACGTCAGCAAGACGGGAAATAGCACACCTATGTTTTTATCCTTCCACTACATGTATGCCTTGGAGGCATGCAGCAAAAGAAAGTTTACTTTGTCTTACAGTATTAAATTTATCCTACCAAATGCTTAAAATCCCATCTTACCTATACCATAGATAAAACATACTCCCTTAGTAGATTTCCCATCCTTATGGAACAGCTGAACCCAATTTTACTGTCAGTTCTGTCTGGTGTACTGTATAGTAGTGTTTTGTTTACAATTCGTTTCTAGCTAATTCAGTAATTTAAAACCTCGTTTAACCAAATAAAACTATCTAATCATAAACAATAACTTGTCCACTATAGTTCGGCCGCTTAGAAAACGACCTGCGCGCTAATGCTAAGCCAATGCTGGAGGAGGTCACTTTCTAAGCGGCCGAACTATAGCTATATAACCAAACAGTGAGGCACAAATCATGAGAAACTAACCCTAAAATAATAGAAACAAATTGTAAACAAAACACGACATCTACAGTACGGTAGACCGGACAGATCTAACAATAAAGTTGGCTCAGCTGTTCCATAAGGATGGGAAATCTAATAATGGAGTATCACAAATACTAGAAAAATACGTTTTATCTATGCCTATACTAACTCTTGTGTCTCATTAAGAAATCACAGTAACCCAGTGGCGGTACCAAGGGGGGATGGGAGGGATATATCCCCCCTGAAATATTTTATATTTTATTAGCTAACATAAATATATTAGCTTGAGCATATTTTAGAGCTAAAATATGCATAAAAATATATTTTTAGGCTTTGAATTCTACATTTTTTCTGTGGGAAGGGGGGGGGGTCACCCAGACCTCCCTTTTTTCTGGGGGATATTCCATACCCCAGACCCCCCGTGGTCATCCCCCCCCCCCGAAATTAAATCCTGGTACTGCCACTGCGGTAACCGAATCAAAATGAGCAAATTTGTTGTTTTGTGAGTGTACATTTCTAATCCCTGACATATTGAGTCGACTGCTCACCAGTAGCCAAGTAGTCATCAGGAGTGATGCTAGGTTTCAGCTGAAGAGGTGGAGTAAAGATGCGAGACTCTAACAGATTGATGAAGTCATCAGGTGTATCAGCTTTCAACAAGGTTTCTTTCAGCTTCTTTTGTATATCTTCTGCTTTTGTTCTGGTTAAAATTCATTAATTAAACAAAATTATGCTAATAAGTTAAGTACCATACAGTAGCCTCTTCCTAACAAGAGCACCACTTATATAGAGGCTATTTTTAAAACTACAATTACCGTTGTTATTCCATCCAGTATCAGTATATTAGAGAGATTAGCAAAACATATAAAGCCATTAATTCTAGCCATGTTAATTTCCCAAAATGGTCCACAAAATTTCACCCTTATACAGGTTTTTGGATAGGCTACTGTTCTATGCCTTCACTAATGAAATCAATTAAATGGTTTGTTTTACTAATAATTGTAAACCATAAAGAAATGGTGACCTGTTATAGTTTACGCAACGATCACGTAAAGGTGGTGTGTTAAGAGACTATATTTAGGCGAGTTGCGCACACTACTTTACCTAACACCATTTTAAAATTACTAACAATCACTACTCATAACTTCTAAGAGCGGTTATGTTTTTTTTTTTTTATATAACCTCTTATTGCCACTGACAGTGATGCAATGACTCCATTGTACCAACCACTAATTGTACAGATCATTAACAATTAAAATGGTAATCAGCTGATTAGTTGAAGTTTGAAGCTTTACAATTGTACTTCTTTTCTCTCAATCGTTGAACCTCATTGGTCCGTTACTCATGGTAAAACATCAATGCTGGCTGATAAGTAAGTAAACGATGCTGTAAAGTGAATCTTTTCAGTACTAAGAACTGTACTGAAACGGCTAGTTAAAAAAACAGTCGTAGTTAAAACTCTTTTCACAATAGATCCCACTGACCCACAAATATTGTCTATTGTGTACCACAAATAGATCATTATTTTTTAAATTAATAAATTAGACACATCGAAAATGCTACAAACTTGAGACTCCACAGCTACAATAAATCAATGTCAATAACGATGATGTGATATTTATAATGTAGTAATTTAGATTTTGCTATAGGGTCTCACTATAGCTAGATTTCCAATATTTTTTATACTGTACGTCATAAAGACTGTTATTTAATCTTTGTTAATATGTCTAATTTTTGCAGTACTGTACCACTATAGAATAAAGAACTAACCTAATCCTCAATGGGCAAAAAACAAAAAACTGTAAAATAATGATTACGTTTGAATCTACTATAGTATCTATATCAGAATAATGGAGGGATGGACTCGTGGTCCAGCACGTCAACTGAAGCTTATTGTGCATATCGTTACCAGAATCTAGAAGAGCTGCACTGCTGTCGCTGGCTAATGGGCAAGGACCGACCTAGGGATGGCAGGAAAGAGAACTAACATCACTGCTCCTTTGTTATCAGCTGATTACATATAAAGTGAAATGTATGTTAAAAAAAATCACATAGCGACAACAATGGTTCTAGATTTTGCTAAAGACACTAGCAGATTCAAAATACAACTCTTTTGGCTCAGTGAGGGTTCTGGCTTGAATTTTTATTTTGTGGTAGTACTCACCTCCTGGCAGCAATAACAGGCATAGGCCTGGTAACCCAGACACATGGATCTGTAGAGTTCAGGGGCATAGTGGAGCCATCAGGACATAACAGACTGACATCTTCACAAACTGAAACATCTGCTCTCTGTGAACAATCGATTACATCACATTAGATTGTGTAAGATGGCTGACAAACTCACAAGTCTTGTCAAATGACCAGGAGAGTCCATTAAGTGAAGCCTTTTCTGTAATGTCTGTGACTTTCTTGATTGACTGGTTCACTGCTCAGTCAAGTCAAGTGTTGCCATAAATAATTGTTTCCATAAAGAAGTGATTATATTAAAAGTTCCACATGCCCACTTCATAATTGTTTCGTGTTCTTCAGGGTATAAATATGTCAAACATTAACATAGGTTTTTCTTTTTTTTAAGAGGTTGGTGGCATCTTTTAACCTTGTGTTTGCCCGTCTACATAGACTACAGATCTGTGCGTGGAACATATCCAGCAAAGCAAGGGATGAGCCGGTACAGTACGAAGGTGAACTGTACTGATAAAATGTTTGCGGCACTCGGCAGTGACCAGGATCCAAACCCACAACATCGCTGCCTTGGGCCCGAAGTCCGTGATGCTACCAACTGAGCCACCGACTTACCAAACGAGTTAGTGTGGTACAATTAGCAAAAAAAGGCTTAGCCCGAACAACCAAACAGAAAGTACACTTTTGACTCCAAGTTGTTCAGTACAGTCCACAGTAAAAGTTCAGTAAAAGTTACACCAATTTGAGTGTCAGGTTTGGTGGAGGGGGGGGGGTAAGAGTTTTAAAAAGTTTTTTGTTTTTTTTCCTTTTGGTTATCTCAGAAATATGCATTTTAGCACAAAATACGTACTAAAATAATCTACACAAAATTCTAAAAAAAAATGTTATCTTCATTATCTTGTTAAAGTGAATGGTTACAGAAGCTTAAAAATTGCAATTTTTCTACAATTTTTACAACTTTTAAAGTCCCGTAGGCAACTAAATATTAAAAAAAAATAATAGAGATAGAGTTACAAAACTTGGAACAAAGTCTCTGGACACACAAATAATTTTAATTTATTATTTAGTGACACACTACCTTCTCAGGGGGACTACCCCCTAGGAGTCAGAAGAAAATATTTAAGGTAAGCATAGGTTGATATCTATATCAAGATCAAATTAACGGTTTTTGTTGGTAAAATACAATACCGCAAACCTGAACTCAAAAGAACAAACAAGTCGAAAGCAGCCTTTGAAAGATTTCTTGAAGTTGCAGTTTTGGGACGCCCGCAGAACTCAGAAGGAAGTCATAAATGTAGGCATGGCTTGATACATTTTATTATTATTATTATATAATTATCATGATTATTATTACTAACATTATAAAAATTTGAATATTGGAGGAACAGAATATTTTTTGATCTCCGCTATATGCACATTCAACAAGACAACAAACAATTTTACAACATATGCAAAGATTTTTACCATTCTTTTTTTTTTGTTTAGTAGTAGATGATTTCTGCATGCACACCTATTATTATTTTGTTTTAATTGAATGTAGGGACGCTGGAAAAGTAATTTGGTGCTTCTAAAGGCATAAATATGTGTGGGAGATGGTCATCCAGCTTTGACATACTTTTACTTTAACAGTTTTAGGTCATGAAGTTTGGATAATTACCATAAAATCTACTTTACCACTGAAACTTTATAGTGGCTGAGGAAGGAATCAATGCATTTGATTCAGTTTCAATTGATTCAGTCGTAAAACTTGTCTTATGTTGTTTATATCCCCAGTGCCAGGTTTACATCAAACACCTATGTACCGAGAAATCGCAAGTTAAAAAGAGGCTGTCAACCCTATAAAACAATACTCAGAAGTGCCAGACATGATGTTTACTCACTGTGAAGTGAAGCCGAGCATCTTTGAGCATGGACCAGGCAACATCTCCCAGGCAGTCAGACAAGCAGTACAAAACTCCCTGTCTACCCCAGTACTTGTCTCTCTCCGAGCATAGGCTGGGCACATCACACAGTCCGCATAACTTGGGGTACTTTTTTTCTAGACAAGTAAAACCACATATTATATTCTTTTAGTTTGATAGGTTAGGTCATGAATAAATAAATAATCTGTTATACTGCTCATGTTTTGAAGAGAAGATTGGATATACTTCAAAAGTATAATATGAAAAAATAATCTTGAAACTCCTGCAAATATGACTGAGGAATAATCCGTCAATAATTATATCAATTTATTTTAGATCAATCATTTTTTAAGAATAGGCAGCCCAATGACAGTACTTGATTTGCTGTGGTCTTGTACACTGATACTGCTATAAATAATTAATAGTGATAAAGGAATTAACGTTTTACTGCAGAAATTATTAACAATTTTGTCAAATTATGACTATAATCATCAATGTAATGATAAAGTCGCATTACTATATAATTAAAGTTGTAAGAAGGAAGAAAAATACTTTATTTTTATAACAAAATATGAGAGTAAGGTTTATATAATCATAAACTATCATGCTTGAATTTGATAGTATTAAATCATTAGCAGGGCAAAATAACTTACTGAGTTTGTGGTCTAACTCCGGGTTTGATGCCCATTGGCCTGGTTTACAAGATTTCCCGAAGTATCCTGCAAGAGCTTTAACTCGATTTTCCTCAATGGAAATATCCTTCTCACAGCTCTGTGGAGTAACTCGGTTCTCAAAATACTGGAAAATAGTAAGCTACTAGTAAATAACAAATTGGAGTTTCTGTGCTTAAAAGTTCAGTATTTACACCTATGTGCGTAGTTTCTACAATTTGTTTAGTTGTATGTGTTTGTTGCTGTGATTCATTAGATATACAGTATAAATATATAAATAGGAAAGGTCTTTTACTGGCTACCGAAACTAAAAATGAGTAAACCTCTCGTTAAAAAAAGCAAGGACGATCTTAGATAATTAACCTACACACATCTTTATAGGTTGAAAAGAGTCAGGCTCTAACAAAAATTATTAGCTCTTTTGATGATGTTAATGTTTGTTCACAGCCATCCTTGTAACAACTTGTTAAACTTTTAAAAGATCAAAATATTAATCAAATATGATGAACTGCTATAAACTAAACCAATAAATACATATAAGAATGGTCTTATAATTACACCATCTACAGTACAAGCTAGTATGATCTAAGGCAATAGAAAGGAATTGGTTTTCTAATTTGGAGTGTTTGCACAATAAATGCTTCCTTGTATGGTAAACAAGACATGATTAATCCTCTTCTGTAATTAGTACCATAAATAGTATTGCAGTATTGCAAAATGCATTTTAACTGTGAGAAACTGTGACACATGAAGTCTTGTAATGGTTTATACAAATGAACGTAATATAAGTTTATGTTTTAATTACATTGTTTTTACTTTTCTAGTTTATTTCTTTTACTGGTAAGAAAACTAATTGTTTAGACTATTCTAAAAACTTCTTCGAAATTTTATGATAAGGACTTTGAGCGGTAAACACAAATTAAAGCAACTGGAAAGTAATAGTTTTTATCATGAATTTTGAAGTAATACTAATAACTGCTGCCTGTATTTTTAAAACAATCTTCTGATGTTAAACTATAAAATATATACATGTACTTTCAATGTTTTAATCCCAAAATATATTTTTTTTACTTTACTTGTTCCTTCTGTATTCTGTAATCAATTTAAATTTTTTATAGAAATGTTTTTTTAAAGAAATTAAAAATTAAAAACTACAACAATTTTAATGGTAAGTAAATTTTATAATATTCATAAAAAGTGGTTTTAATTAATGGGAAACCGATATATAAAACTATATAATAATAAAATAAGAGAATTCCTGGGAAATCCAGTTTGTTAATTTAATTTTAATTTCGTTGACATAAAAGTGTAGTCCAGTGTCCTCTATTCTTATACATACTTACAAGGGAAAAGACTTCACTCCAATCGTACTTGACAGCAAAAGGATCAAAACCAGGATGGCAAAGTTTCTTGTTTCTTAAGTCAGACAACTTTGAAATTTTTGCATTATTGGAAACCAAAGCAACAACAGCAAATTCCCACTTTTCTGAAAGAAAATAATAATAATTTAGGAATGTTTACAAAAATAAGACTTCATTTTAGCGAATTTCCCATATAGGGAATAAGCTATTACCGTAGTACTCATGGTAAGACCTGGACCCGGGACCGATTTACTTTTTCGTTTTGAGGTCCCTAGAGGCCAAAAACACCATCCGTTCAAATTCATATATATATATATATATTTATATTTATATATGTGTCCGTTAGCGCCATAACTCGAGCAAAAATCATCCGATTTTGATGAAATTTGGTACAAACGTGTAAACCTACGTTTATTCAAACGAGTTCGCGAACCAGCATGATTGGACTATGGGAACAGGGGTTTAGGGGGGGTTTTATGAGGTAAAAATAGGTTTTTCCCATTTTTGACCCTAAAAACTTAAAATTTAGCAATTCTGTTCAAACCATTTTGTAGAGCTTAAAAAAACAAATAATTTAGTATATTGAAGCGTTATTATGCGCCTAATGGTTACGGAGAAAATTCCAAAAATCGGTTAATTTAAAATTCCCATGTTTTCTTATGGAGAATAAGTAAACTGTTGTAGTTTGCTTGTTTGTGAACATTTTTTGATCAAATTTGGAAAATGCATTTATTTCATACTAAACTATTAACATTTTACAAAAAAATAAAACACATTTTTACCCTCCCTGTTGCAGCAAACCTAAGTACTCGTTAAACTAATGTTATTTAAATAGGGAATAAACGTGACATTTTTAAGGAGACATTTTAGTGTAAATCCAATCAGGCAAATGGAAATTTGCTTAGTCTGCAGGTTTGCTGCGGCGGGGGTATTTAAATTTGTTAATTCATATTATTTTTTATAGGTATATATATATATTTTTTTTTCTTATAGATTCTTAGAACTAATTAAAATACCTCATGTTTCAGAAAACTTGCAGAGAAAGGAAAAATGTCTAGTTGTGTTATCAAGGTTTTATTGAAATATTCCTTGAAATAGTTTTATTGAAATGGGGTTTATTGAAAATTAAAATAGTTTTATGGAAATAATAGAATGAAATATCTCCCTAGATTCACACGCAATAACACACTTCAATATAAATTACACTGCCCTTGCAAATCACTTGAAAAGCCATAAAGCCATTGTCGTCCAAAGACCCTTTTGTAAACCATTAATCTATGTAAACTTTTTTGCATGAGAACGGATTTATGTTATCTGAAGATCCAAAAACAATAAACTACAGTGGTCCTAAACCTAGGCCTTAACTAAGCTCATGAACTGTGAAAATACTTCTCTGTAGGGAAATCAAATAGGTTTAGATAAATTGTAATAATCGTTTTCTATAGGAAGTGACGTAAGATATTTTACGCCATACTACTCTAAGCTAACTTAACAATAAAAAATCTGTACAAATCCTTATATATTACCACCGACTAAAGGACTAACAATCATTACTCTCTTAGAGCACAGGTTATATGTTTGATTGTAACCACTTATTGTCAAATATAATCAGCTGATTGGTGTCCGGTAAAAACTCATTACAGTACAGTAGTACGTAATGAAACCCCATTTTATTAAGCTGGTGGCAAACAGCTGTTTTCTGGACTCAATACTTGCGTGTGAAGTTAGTTAAAACAGTGTACAGTAGTCTGGGTAAAATTGATTTATCTCAAACAAGAAGTAAATTAATTACCACTTTCATGTAATCTACTTCAGTTTAGGTTTTGGAATTGTTGCTGTAGGGTGTAGTTTTGATATAGATTGGTAAATGGTTGTACAAAGCTGGATTTTAGACATATTTTATTATTTAATTTGTTAATAATATATTTTATTTGATATTTATTATTTTAATTTAATCACTTATGTGCTAAGAAATTATTAAAAAAAACTTTTCAATTCTTGTTTTCAAGCTTACAACTTTTACATATTCTGCTCTTAAATCGAAAATACTTTTGAACCAAAGAAATATTTAAGCTTAGTTTCTCCACTCACTGTCCTCTGTAGCATGGATCCTGTGAGTGATGAGAATGTCAGAGAGGTGCTTGTTGTTGGCAGCCATCAAGAGATCTTCTGCTTCAAACACTGCAAAATCTGCCTCTCCGGAAATAATTTTATTCATACAATCCAACCTGGAAAAATTGAATTCTAAAATGCTTATCTTTTATTCTATACATTGATGTTTTTCTTTTTTGTAAAACGGTTATCTGGTGATCAAATAAGAAATATTAAACTCCTAATTTGATCAAAGTATTTAATTAAATGATTTTACTACCCAATTTATTGAATTTAATCAGTTAGCGACTCAGATAGAAACATAACAAACAATATTTCTTAAAAAAAACTAACTAGTAGTTATACTTTTTGTATAATTTTGTGAACATTATTTAAATTGTATATTGTAGACGATTTCTAGTCATCTAAGAATATTTGGCATCCATTCTAAGAATGGTTAAGATGTGCTTTTAATGCCCTTGCAGAATAGCCCATAAGTCAAAGTTACTGTTTAATAATTCATGTAGTGTTTACTGTGCCAAACTGTTAACCTCGCCTCTCTAAAAAACCATCTTTAGTAAAATCATATATTTTAAGCCAGTTTTGTATTTTTAAACAACTAAAATTATTTTCCTTTTGAAAAAAATTATCTTAATTATTGGACGGAGCTGCCAAGAATACAAGTAGGTATTAAACTGTACTTGTATAATGTTAGAGGTTCGTTTTCACTTTTTTACGAATAGGTAAGTATAAATTTTATTTTTAAATTCAGGACATCTTAGTGCTTCTCAACACATGCTTAGTCTCAAATTAATATAGATTGTTCTTAACTCAATATAAAGATATTCATTCTGGTATTTAAGAGTGATATATCTTTTGTAGCTTTGTGACTGACTTGGGATTACTGTAGATTATTACATACCGGTCAGTTAGTCTAAATACCTGTCTGTGGCAGTGACACATCTGAAGGGAGTTGAGCCTAACTTGTCACAGCTGACTGCTGAAGAGTAATAGTTTGGTGTCTGCGGCAGCACACACAGGTGGTCTGTAACATGTAGCCTCACATCAGTCTGTTTTGCGGTTAGCTGTACAACCCCTTAGCAAGAATTTAATATATGTCACAATATGAAAGCACAGTGCCATATAAAGTATAACTATTATTATTATTTTCATTAGCAATTGAGATGACCAACTATCAATTACTTAAAATCAAAAATACATAGCACAAACTCTCACTTTTCATCATACAGAAAAATTAAATAGAAACATGTTGTGACTAAAGTCATAATAAATTAATGAGCATAACATTGAGGAGTCTGCTAGAGAGATTGCTACAGACGCTAGGGCAGCTAAATAATTGAATTGGGACGGCCAATGTCATTATCACTAACTGACCATTACAATTACCAGAGTAATCCTCTCACAAAACAATTGCAGTTACAATTGTATCTAAAGCATATAATACAATTGCAAGATATGTTGCCTGACTTATTTTTATTAGTGAATCAATATGGTACATTGTTTGGCTGATAGTTTAATAAGAAACTGTTATCCTCTAAGAAACTGTTCCTATATCTTTAGGGACATAACAAATTTATAATTAATTAGAATAAGTTTTAATTTATTGACAAATAAAAATATTCCCTTTCATAATCAATGTGTAGCACTGTGAATTATTAGTGTATACATAATAATTTATTTTGTTTAAATTGGTAGCACAGCATTGTAAAACGATTCTTGTATTTAAAAAAATGGTGTTAAAATCTGTTGACAAACCGTACTTGGTAACGATTTATCTGTAGATGGTTTGAATGCCAGTAGCATACAGCAGTGTTATATCATTATGGCTGAATGGTTGAGTGATGTCCACTGTCATGGTTCACTTATAGATTGCAACGAGGGAAAGTTATGAGGAAGTTTGTGAAATCCGCAATGAAGGAAATCAGTTCCATTTGACATACTGCACTGTATTTGGATTAAGTAATTTTATAACACCACAAAAAACACCTGGCAAATGTTATCAGTAGATTGAGTTCAAAATATAAATCCCTCTGGGATAGGATAAATTTGTCTACTTAAGCTTAAAACCACTTTCCTTTTATTGATTAATTAGTAATTACAGAAGTAAAACCACTTTCTCAATATACAAATTTAGTCCAAGCAAACAGTAGTTTATGCAACGATTGCGAGTTGCGTACACTACTTTACCTACGACAGTGTTTTAATTACAAACAATCAGTAGGTACTCATAACTTCTAAGAGAGGTTATGTTTTCGTTTATAACCTCTCATTGCCACTGACAGTGATGCTACGAAAAAATTGGCCTGAACAGCTGATTAGTTTGAAGAAGTTCGAATTATTACAACTTTACCTCTCTCTCAATCCTTGAACCTCATTGGTCCGTTACCCGCGTTGTTATGAGTAAAACTATGCTGTTATGAAAGTGTAAACAATGCTGTTATATGAAACTTTTTAATTATAAGATCTGAACTGAAACTGATAATTAAACAAAACTGTCGTAGGTAATAGCTATTTACCTTACAAGTGTAGTAAGAGCGTTTTTACATCACGCAGGTGAATGTTGTGCAACGAGCGGAAGCGAGTTGCATAATTCACCTAAACAGTGATGTAAACACGCTCTTGCGTAACGTGTAACGTACAAGATTTTACCTGACCCGACAATATACAGGGGGTTACGTACAATATTTTTCATTATCCATTTTACTCATCTTCTAACAGTAACGTTCTTCTACAAACAAAAGCTAGGTTAGGAAAATACTTTAAAGCATAATAATAACATTCAAGCGCACAGCTGATTTCTAGCGTTGAACGTCGTTGGCTCCATAGAGGTATATTTTTTTTAAGTTAAGCACTCAATGTTATTTAAATGGGTTTCATTACCTCACCGAGTGAGTTTTTTTAACTTTACATCACTCGTGAAGTAAAGAAGTTGTATACATCACGCTTGGGATAGGGAAGTTTAACATGGCTGGTTAGGTAAAATATTTAATCTTAATTAATCTTACCCATTACAGTACATATAGAACAAGACAGTAGTTTAAATGTGCAACAATAGCTCAAAGAGAGGTACCATACAAGGGTAAAAGCCGTAGGCACAGTTCCCCTTTATGATTTCTGACGCTGTTTTTTGACTAATCAGTTTCGCTTTTTACAATGCAGATTTTTACCAAGAAGTACAATAGAACCATTTCAATAGTCATATAGAAATCATATCCACGTCAAACTGATGTAGTTTGTTCCACTTCTATTGTAGCTGACCTTGGCTGGCTCTAGGATAAAACCAAGTAAAACAAAAAAAGTTATAGAAATAAAATTTTATAAAGTAAGTGTTAAAGTGTTATGATTAAAATGAAACTTAGTGAGGAGGCATATTTTTAAAATAGTTCTCTAAGTATTGAGAAATGGGGGTTTAAATAGTTTTATAAAACTCAAAGGGTCTACAAAAAGTATTCAATTGTTTTAGTAAACATCTTAAAATGCTTTTTTGTATGTACTTTGGTCATTGATATGTATTTATAAACGAGAGTGTACTTTTTTGCAATTTCTAAGAAACTTTTTGACAATAAGATAATAAATTAACAATCAATTATAATTAAGCATTCTCATAGTGCAGTGAATTTCAATACATATTTTCATAACTACACTGGATTATCTTTATAGTACCTAATAAAAACATGATTACAATACAATAAAAAGACGTTATGTGCCATTTAAATTTACGTTAGAACAGGAAAATATCACATTTTTGCAGTGATAAAACAGAGTCAGATCATAGATGAACCACAGTAATTTAATACATGGCTATGGATAACAGACAATGTATATGTCTTCACATTCCAAATTCAAAATATGTACTAGGCCTACTACCTCTAAATATAAATTATTGAATTTAATTTGCTAATTTCTTACTACTATAAATTTCAACAAAATCAGGTTTCTTTTACGTTAAATTGTATCTTTGTCATTTGTTGTTGTAAAAATTTTATAATTGTTTATAAAATATACAACATGAACTCTTCACTCAAAACCACTCAAGCGAAAACCACATTTACAAAATAACTCACATAAGACAGTAAAGAAACTATAGTTCACAAAAAGAATAAAGAAACCAATTATTCAGATGTCTCATTAATGAACTTGACATTCTTTCTGATAAATCACCCTCATTATCCCGGGAGAACCACAGAGAGGATAAGATAAACATAATCCTTATAAGACTTGGCAAAATCTATATTTATTTTGTCCTATTCGAGTTATATTTAATGTATGCTCTTATATTGCACAACATATCAATAAAAGAAAAAAAACATCTAAATTCAAGGCAATTTATTGAGGCAGGCTGTAAGTTTCACTACACTTACACAACTGCTGAACCTCTTTATTTGTAATTACGCAGTTGTGTAACATTTAATTGCATTCTAACAGATTAACAATTCGAATTCAATTATCTGCTTTATTATTACCTTGTTCGCCAACAATTTAACACACATTGCTAAACTCTTTTGATCATTTCTCATTTTCTATGAACTCAAATTCAGCGTAATTATGTGAAATGGGTGATCGTGAAATACAGAACTCAGTAAAATTTAATTCTGTTTAAATAAAAGTTTTTATTAAGCTACAAAATCGTAAAGAAAGTAGAGTTAAGATTAATATTATCACAGTTGTAAAGCAAATATTATGAATTCCTTTGCCAAATTAGTAAGCAATAAGTTCTTCACAATTTGAACAACATGTTTTAATTTTACCTGTTCTGATAATTATCTACGGATTCAATTCAAAAATTCGTAGGCCTACAAAATTATTAATATTTTAAATGTCTCAAGAAACTGTTTTAATCAACCAGATTCTACCTTATTTACTTATAATTGCCAGGAAAGAAAGACTAAAGAATGTACATTTGACTATGGCAGAAACAATATAAATAATGGCTCTACAAGTGTTTGTGTGGAATAATTTTTTGAAGAAACTCTCAACAAAATGAACCAATCAAACTCAAAATTCGAAATAAATTAATACGGAAAATATAATACGTGAGTCAAAATGTTGCATACTACACCTTATTTGTTTGATCAAAACTTAATGTAAATAGACCTAGATATAAAATTGTGTGAAATCGCTCAAACAAAATTGCTAGTTTCATAGCAGAATATCAAAAATGCACCATTAAGCGAATCACATTTAGCCATTAAATTAGATAATTCAACGTTACAGGGGGGCTTATTAAGTGTTCCACTCATATTATAATGTTAGGCCCGCGCTATCAACAACTCCAGTTCCCCCCAGGGTGCGTGCAGACATCTCAAGGTCATCTCGTCCTCAACCTTCTACTTGTTAGCCAATTCTTTAACTATTCTTACATAAAAGTAATTACAAGTTAAACATCTTATATAATTGAGTCTTCATAGTACTGTAGAACTCTAAAGAATGTAAAAGAAAACATGAACAGAGTTTGTGAAGAGTTAAAGAATTGTTGTTGTAGATACTTATCTCACTTCTTTGCAATGTCGAAGTACGATTAATAGGCGGGAGTCGTTACGTCTATCAACAGGCGAGCACCGACAGCTATACACTATTGTGTTACATTCTTGCAACAATATACGATATCCTTACCTTGGGAGCTAATGGAGATGTTCACTATAAAGGTATATCATTATATAATCGAAATGTAATAGTATTCTTTACTATTTCCATTTAACATGTACGAACAGGACACGGAATTAACTTCTTACATCAGGGTGACAAAAAACCCCTGGGATGGTAAAATATAATACAATAGGGCTAAAAAATTTTAAACAAATTTACATAAAACTTATTTTAACACAAAGGTCTTTTATATGCATATCAACCTATTCTTTTACTTACAATTTCCTTCTGACTCCCCCTGAGGAGATAGCGTGTCACGGATTAACGAATTAAACAGATTTTTATGTTCCAAGTTTTGTAACTCTATCTTTATAATTTTTTTAACTATTTAACTGTCCCGGGACGTGTGTGCCGCCCTGTACATAGTTCATTCATACACTAAATTGTTTGTTTATATTTCCCTATGTAATTCAAAACAATCTGTAGACATGATAAAATATGTTGAATGGAAAACCACGGTTAAAACCAGGTACTTTATGAAAATGTATATTTGGTGAAGGAATTCATAAACGAAGTAAGGGGTGGATGCACTCGTCTTTGTAGTCCAAATACGCTTTCTCAAGGGAGACGGAGGGTTTCTTTAAATGTTAAACTAATGAGCTGAGGGAACGAGCCGTACAATTTGTGTCACTCACATTCGTCGTCTGCAAGTCAACGCAAAAGGAATATTTGGGAACAGGAGACCTAATATTTATATTTTCTATCTATACCTTTAGACTAGGTTGTTCAAGAAAAAATAGAAGTAAAAAAGTATATTTTCGGAACATAAGAAAAATAGCACAAGTCGATAAATAGTTTATGTAGTTTCCCTTCAAAAATCAAGATTATTTAGGTAAGAGTACCGGGGGGCCGAGCCATAACTCGGTGTAGCTGAATTCGATTGTAGCAATATAAAGGGAACTAAACTCGTTTTATTAACAAGTAATTTTGGATTTTATTTTTTAAGTGTCAGTAGAATATAAATTTATTAAGTATGGAAATGTTAACCTGGCAATCCACAAAACGTTAATTTATTTCACAGTCATAGTAAAAAAAACACTCGTTAATGCCCTACACTTGCATACACATTGTTTTGACAATATGTTAAATTTAAAACAACTGATTGAACATTTTTGTTTTAATTCCAATTTACATAAAATAAAAATAATATTATTAAATATTTGTTTCACTTCTAAAACAAAGTTTGCTAATAATAATTGCCTCAGTACTTTGGGGATTAAGTTTTGGTAGGAGAGAGTCAAGTAAAATAATCAGTGTTTGATCGGAACTATTTCCCTATATCTAGTAGTTTACAGAGTAATCTTTGCTCAATAGTAACAACTGATGTTTTCCCTTTGTACTGTATCTTGTAATTTACTAGAATACTGTGGATGACTTGTTATAAGCACACGTTACAAGACTTTAGTTTAAGCTCTCCTTGTTATTTTTTGTTCAACCAACATAGTTACTAGGCAACCCATAAGGCCAATGTTAAATTTTAAATTTTCAAATGAGCTGTGTAGCGAAATCCGAGTTTTCCTGAGGTAGTGCCTGTCACCAATCACGTTTTTAGGGCTATAAGTCCCTAATTCCAAAATTTAGTCAAAATCATTCCGCTAGTTTCGAGATATATATTACAGACAGACAGACATACATACGGATAGACAGACATACGGATAGACAGACATACGGATAGACAGACAGACAAACAGACATAGCTCGTATTAGCATAGGATTAACAGGTGTTAGCATAGGTCTATCAGCATGTACCTATTAAAATTATGTTATTTATGCTGGTTCTATGCTAAATGACGTATTTACATGGAGAGAGACTATACACAATATTGGATACAATTTGGCTAAATATTTACCTATGCAGTTCCTAAATAATCTAACTTAGGACTGATTTTTTTAGGACCTGATTGTACTGTATTACAAAAAGTTCAACTGTGTAGACGTGACATATGCAGCAGATGCATTTCAATTGATTCAAAGAATTAAGCCAAACTCAGTCAACTAAAGTAAAACCAATTGGGAAAACCGCGGAAAACTATCGAAGGTCGCGGCGGAGGAAGGAGGATCAATGAACCAGCGACCAACAAAACCAACAAGCACAGGTCCTGGCTGGCAAGGTCAGCCACAGCACAGTAATCAGCTGATAGTGGCCGAGGTCAGGGAACAACATCCGAACAATCTGAATACGCGATACAAGTTGAGAGGACACTTGTAATGTGGCAGTAATAAGTCTGACAATTTAAACTGTAACATAGACACAAACACGATAGAGATACGTAAGGGTTTGTACGATTTCCGTTGCATAATTAAATGTCATAATGTGCAGTGACGAGTTCGTTTTAATTTTTTATTAGTTAACTTATAAAAACTATATTTTTATCAATCAAGACTTAGAATTTTCAAGCAGTACAAGTACATGGTGTAATTGTTCCCTCGTCCACAAAATACCTGAGAATTGTCCTCTAGAAGCAATCTTCCACTTATAGTTTGGTATTTGGTATGCATTGCACATAAGAACTCGTTAAAAACAAACGTAGTTATGTTATAGTGCTTAAACAATAGTTAAGGTACATTTTAAATTTTGTACGGTTACAATTATTGACATGGATATTAGCATAGCCTCCTGATTGTGGTAAGACTTTAAATTTAAGTTTAATGGTAATCCATATTAGTATTAAATTATAAGTAAGCTTTATTAATTAAACCTAAATTGTGCATTTCTTAAACGGGGTTTTGACGATATAAGTCACACGTCTCAGTAACACACGCTTATTATTACAATGTCTGAATCAACTCAAATAAATCATTGCACTAATATATCAAGCGTGTGTATGTACTTCACAATAGAAATATGAATGTTCTTCATTGAAACAAATATCACCAATCTTAAAGATACCAACGAGATCAATACAATGAGGTACTGTAGTTGATTTATTTTGTAATCTTTTATACTTTTTCTTCCATGAAACCTCTTATTCTTATACATGCGATTTTAATACTGTTAAATGAAAACATAGTTTTAATACTTGACACGCCAATTGTGGTGTTCAACAACCTAGTTGTCCGATACAGCGTTTTTGTAGGTCGTCAACGGGGATGTTAGTTACTTTTATGAATATGAATAATAACTATTTTATTCGGTAACAGCATGATAACTTGTGTGGCGTGAGTTTTCTTATGCTTTTCAACGGCATTTTTGCTGAAAGGTACATGGGTACGAGTACAGCTCACATCACCAGCGACCTTGTCCCTATAATGTCAAGAAGTCGACTGTGTTGCTTTGCCCGGTCCAGGACCTGGTCATTATCGGCGAGGAATTCGTTCAACTATTATGCAACTTATTTTGTTCCTAACCTACGTTATTCCTTGAAGATTCTGAAGCATGCAAGCTATCTGCAAGATAGGGAGAAATTTCCAAATATCCAAAATAGATGATTCGCTAAATACAGGGTGATTCTAAATTATTGTTACACTTTTGAAACTCTATAAATGAAAACTCTACAACCTATCATACCAGGGTGAGAATCAATTGAAAGAGTAGATTCTAAAGTTTTGTTTTACACCACATTGGTAAACGTAGTTGCGAAATTAGCCTATACAGACATTTTTAGATTTTAACTACGATTTTAAATTAATTACACACTTCTACCACTCTGAATCTCAAAACTTCATACTGTATGTTAAATTGTCAAAAGTTTTAATTATACCACTAGGGGTCAATTAGTTCTATAATTTACCACTCAGTTATTGTTGTTAACCATTATTCTAAGCTGCAAGGAACATGACTTCGAAAGAGGGTTCTGTGTTTTAGAGTTTCATTGATTTTAAATAGTGCAATTAATTTTAAATCGTAGTTAAAATCTAAAAATGTCTGTAGATGCTAATTTTGCAACTATGTTTACCAATGTAGTGTCAAACAAAACTTTAGAATCTACTCTTTCAATTGATTCTCACCCTGGTATGATAGGTTGTAGAGTTTTTTATTTATAGAGTTTCAAAAGTGTAACAATAATTTAGAATCACTCTGTATTAAAACTCGTAAATGGATGGGTTTTTTTGCTCGTATCTACGCCAGTGGCATTTTTGTAATGAAGTCAAACACTTTTAAGGGAAAGCGGTCCGAACCCATTAAAAATTGTATTACTTTTTTTAAACAATAAAGGTATATTTATGATAGAACCGTATTTTAACTTATTGTTGTTTATAGATTTCGAAAAAATGGATTCGACAACCTTACTATCGGGATATCCAACTGATTACTTTTCTAGCAGTACGACTGTGTAAGGTAAGTCTATGTCATGTGAATGAAAATACATTTTGATTAACTGATAACAATGATTCTTTTAGTTTGACTATGGTTGTGTAAAATTCAATAAATTCATGTGTTCCTGCGTTTTAAGACTGGAATCACCATCACAAAATTGTTCAAAATTAAATGAGGGAATTACCTAATGTTATTGTAAACCTTATGGCACCCAAACGGAAATTTGTATATTTTTGTGTTCTGAACTATCCATAGGAACCATTATGTTTGATAACTTTCTACTAGGATGACTATGAAATTCCCACTATTTTCTCCCGCATAGAGGTTAACGAGTGTAACTGGACCCGCATGTACTCACATGTTTGTTGGCTACAGGCTAGGGACGCCAGGAGCGCCACCACCGTTGTACTCCACCATGTGTACCCCATCACTACCCGTACAACACTGCGCCACTACCACCACCACTACCACTACCACTACCACTACCAGGGTATCCCGCCACTGTGACTCATGTCAGACCAATGACGTCACCTGTTTAGGAGGATAAACAGCTGACTGGGCCGTGTTACATATGAGCTATCAGCTTACAATTATCATACTGGAATGAGACAAACACATACGCAATACAGTTGATGTAGAAATTATACCTTGGATATTTACCTTGGCATTTTCCATATGTATATTACACGCAGACGTTGTATCAACAATATCTCACTATCTGAATAAATGTGTGAAGTTTCCCATAACAAATACTGTCTATAATAACAAAACAAATAATGCAATACCTTTTTACATGTCAATGGTTATTTTGGTTTAAGACAGAGTTTTTAGATTTGTTGTTTACTACAGATCCATACAATACAAATTAACTTATTTACCTCAATCAGGTTACAGTTTTCAATTAAAGTAGTATATTTAAAAACAATCCATTTTCGTAAACTGTTTTGTCTCTTGTTTACAATCTGACTGTAGTTAAAAATGTTAACTGGAGGCTTAGCGGCTAAATTACATTTTAAACTAAAACCCGTTTGTCTTTTAAAAACTTCGTCAGTCAGCAGCATCCATGGATATTAGAACAGAAACGGTATGGACCATAAACACAAACAAATGACGTCACGGACTCGAATTTTATACTACAGTAATAACATTAACGTTTCGTTCGGACGTTTTTGACAATACAAACATGTTTACTTTCGGACTAGTGACGTAATTTGTTTATGTTTATGAGCCATACCGTTTCTGTTCTGTCATTCGTAGCATCATCTGACCTTTCATAGTGATTGAAATAAATCAAATGTAAGTTGAGAGATTGTTGACATTCGTTCCTGCGCTAGATCATAATATTTAAAATGACAATCGTAAAATCGGTCAAGTAGAATGGCTGAAAAGGGGATGTTAGCAAAGAAAACCTTTATTCTACTGAGTACAGTATATATTAATTGCACAGATACAGATAATGCATTGATACAGATATATTAATTGTCGAACTTTTTAAATTTAATTTTATATATGATGAAAAGTAATATAAATAGTAAATTATTCCATAGCTATAAATTATAATTATTTAATAGAAAAGTAATCAGTGTTGTGTCGGTACCACTTTTCAGAGTCGGCACATGCATCTGTTACTTGCATTTCTCGATTCTTGGTTGAACGTACAATTTTTTGGCGTAACATAAAAATAAAAATAAGCAAAATTCGTTGTTTTATCAAAATAAACTAAATAAGTACCTGTGGGCCTACTTGGCATAGTCACTACAATTATCGGTTGGATACTCAAACCATTATTTTTGGTCAAATCTTTAAGCTTCTCGTGATATAAAATTTCTTAATTTTTAGGAAGAAGAAGTGTTCAACCTTAGGCACTCTTCCGTCAACCCCTTCCCCGTACTAATTAGACCAGTATGCCGAGTTGTTGCTGAATTACAGTCACTGACATTTTAACTTCGTCTCTCAGTCACGGTTCTTTCTTCTAGATCCGGTGCTACAGTTGTTGTCTACAGGTACTGACACATCACTAATGATAATATAATAACGTATATATTTATCTAAATTCATGCTGTATCAAATGCAGTATACTAAAATATTCCTCCTTATACCTTCATGTGTTACAAAAAAACTGTGAGTGATTTATGTTAGATATGTATTATTATTAGGTAGTATTAGTACCTATATTATTTATTATTATTAGATATGTAGATTTGTGTATAGATCTACTGGTGTCTATTTTTTTATGATAAAGATTTCCATAGAAAACTTATTTAAATGAAGAAGCCATATGTATGATGAAAGCCATATTAGAACCTGATAAAAATGTCTAAACGTCCAAATTAATATAATAAACATTGTTAATGTCCAATTATTTGATTATACATTTACTTAGTAGTACAATGTAATATCGATAGAAACATTTAGATAATGTATGCCCGGCTGAGAGTATCTGATTTATAAAATACCATCTCCTTATCACTAAACTAGCTTGTGTGATGGGGACGATACTTGGCGTATACTAACCCTATTATCAATGTAATTTTAGATAAGTATGGGCCTTGAGTAACCTTTTCATAAACATAGGCCAAATCAAGGTCACGTTCATTAAAGTGCTCCATCATGCAAATTTAGGCCCGATTTCAAATTTCTAAACACTTACCCAATTTTTAACAGGGTTCTACAAATTCACACTGATATCATTGCCATCGCATATTCAGACTTTTATAAGTTTTATAAGTTGAATTTAAGATAAACACATACAGGGAATGACGATATTTCAGGTGTGGTCTGTAGCTCTGTACACATCAACACATACAAAAAGGCCTACATCTCTTATCGGGACTAATTAGAGGCCGTTTTACTGTTGCCGCACAATCTTCCGACTATATTGTCGTAGTTGTTCATTGCAGTTTTACTAAAAAATGAACTAATTCATTTATTCCGTTTTATTTTCAATGTTAGTGCTAGAGTGACACAGATGGGAGATATATTTTTCAAATGAAACGAAGATTGTTTTTCTGTAGCATTTTTTATAACTATAAGGGAATTGACTCATCAAGCAACAACTTCTCAGTTAACGGTTTATGATAGACTAATGAAGTACCTTTACTTACGCAACTCTATTTCTCAGCAAGCACCTAAGGTCACGGACACACAGAGCCAATCAGTTTCAAAGGTTTAGTTTCGTGATGTCCAGGGAGCAGAAATTACACCGGACTGAGGATGTTCCAGGACCATAGTCCTCCTCAGCCTGATAACATTTCGAAGGACCGAGATCCACCTTCAGAAATGTTGTAACGTCAGGTTTAATTGTCTTGCGCCTTCGTTTCTACACGACGCAGGATATACAAGCACAAGTCCGCAGAACGACGCTGAACATTGTAAGGCACTTCATTGTTGGTTTCGTCACAATTGATTTTGACTAGCAAGTCCAACACAAATTCTTATTGCTAATGAAACTCTAAAAATATGTATGAGTATATGTGATATTACATCTTAATGATACAGTAATTTCTTATTTACAATATAAGTGATTGTATACAGCTCTCAAGACATCGAATATTAAGACAGTAGTAGTATTTTACGTCACAATCGTAGTGTTTTGCCTTGCGAGCACGACGCCGAGTGCGGAATTGTAATGCGAGTATAGTAAAGCTTGCTGGGTGAGCTACGTACGACATCACATCAAACCACACATAAAATCTAACAAATTTGTATTACATAACATAAATTATAACTATATTTTCATTTTAGAAAATAAATTAGTTATGTTAATCTTGATTTGTTGCCTACTCATCATATTAGTAAATTTATACACAATTTAAAAAAATGTGTAGGTATATTTCCAGTTTACTTCTAAACCCATCGTCAGCCTTTGTTAACAACATAAGTAAATAAACTATGATTTATAATGTTTGTTTACAAATTAACATATGTTAGAATTATTTTAAAATTAAGTTAGTAGGGAAAAGAATTGTTATATATGTATATATTATGTAGATGTCACAGTTAATTTATTATTGTTTTCCAATTTTAATTTTGTTCTCAACCTCTTCTCGAATCAAAGGTATAAACATACTAAAATAAATTAGGCTATCTTTAGAAGGCTTTAAAAAATCATAATAATATTAATGGTACTATTGCAGGTTCTATTGAATTTGTTGTTAAATCCTTCAAAATTTAATCTTTATGGGGACCATCGTTTCACTCACAGACATATTTGCCAACAATTCTGAACTATACGGGTATAGACCCGTACAATTAAGAATTGTTGGCAAATATGTCTGTGAGTGAAACGATGGTTCCCATAAAGATTAAATTTTGAAGGATTTAACAACAAATTCAATAGAACCTGAACTTAAACGGCCATTAGATCAATATTTAGTCAGTATTAATTGTACTAAATAGGTTCATTATATTTTTTCATCTTAGCTTTGAGAAGCCAAAATCACTGTTCGTTTGATTTTTAATAAAGTTAGGTGTTCATGAGTGTGGGTCTTTATAAACGACAACTCTTCTTTGATCAAAGCAAGACTGAATTGTAAGCCATCATTCTATCGAATACTTTCATGAACCAGTCTGATCCTGGGTCTTCGTTAGTATAATTCAGTTAACGGTAACAGCAATCACAGTGACACACGCTCTCTCCGACTAGCTTGTCAACAACCCCCATCATAGGTAAGCGTTGGGAGTAACTATGATAGTTTATGGGAAAATGACAAAAGCTTTTAACACTTGCAACAGCAATTTTTACAGCATTGGGAGTTGTAACAGTTTGGTTAGAGTTAAAATATGCCATACAAATAATCGAATTCAGACAAGCCCCTTTTTTTAAAATTCGCTTTTACCGTAATTTTGTTGCTTTTTAGGGAAAAATCACCAAAGAAATTTTGGAGAGGCCTTATATTAATATAGGTTAGTGTACACACCAAATTTAATCTAAATCGGACTTTAGGCATCGTTTGTAGCTTTGTACACATCACACACAGAGACATCGCTTCGAAAACAATTTTTTGGATTCAGTGGGGCCCAAAACGGATATATCAACCTAAAACCCAAACTCGAATGATTATTTCAAAAACTCCTCCAAATAATATGTAAAGAGGGAAAAAGTAAAAATTGTTAAGTTCAAAAAAGTTTAAAGTGAAAAAGTGAGGAACAATTTTTCTACAGGACACACACAGATGAAACATATAAGTGCAGTACAAATGGATCGAAACTGTTAAATATTTAATACTGTTATGCCATTCTGGACCTTTGCAGCACACGCACATATTACATTTACGCGGTCTGGCGCAACACAGATTTTTATTAACAGAACAAATAGTGCAGTGCAGTCTGTTCTTGTTTATTCTTATTGGACAACCGAAACATAAACTACCGTGGTGGTGTAACACAGCACATCTAGTGGTGTTGTCACAAAAATTGTTGTTTGCTTTTTATAGTAGTCAGAA